TTTGGCACATTGACTGAATACAGGATCAAATGGTATTATCGCAAAAATCTTTTAAATTTAGAGTTATTAAAATATCATTAGCAAATTACCAGTTTAGTACTGATATCTGAGAGCTATGTTTTTAATAGTTGAAAACAATAGATGTTAATTATGTAAATCCAAAGAATTTTATTTATTGAAAACCATTTAATGAAAAGTAAAATGCAAGTTAACTCAGGTGAAATGGTAGTTAAAGACTAATAAATAAAAGTTTAATCAATAAATATTTGAATTTTTTTATTTATTTATTTTTTTTTGAATAGATGAGTGAATTTAGATACGTAGAATGATATTTTTGTTGATGAGCGATTATTGCTGTGCTGCAAAAATAGAATGAAGGCCCCTGTATAAATTTAATTCTGCTGAAGAAGGAAAAAATCTAATACTAGAAAATATAATATTTCATTTATTTGCAAATCAGATTTCTAGTGACGGATCATTATAGCTGATTTTAAGTTTTAACTTTGGAATCGGCAAAACGATCTGCAAATTTATAAGTAATCACATGCATAACCATACTCCTTAAGCCAGATGCATGACGTAATTCATGCTAAGGTTATTACCAGCGAGGATCTTCACATGTGAAAGTCAAGGGCGTAATGAGAATTTCCTGCTATTGTTTAAGGTTAGGTGGGAAAATGTAAGAAATGGTTGCATTGTGTATATAAGTTAAGGGGGCTGAATGGTTGCTGTCTGACATTAGTCTGGCTCTTTCGTAGTGTCCTGTCCTTCCCAGGCCCCCAGGAAAAAAAAAAAAAATAATAAAAATTGATTGTGTTAAAATGAAAAAGGAAGGAAGAGTAACTCGGGACATTCTTACCAACACGAGAATGAAAAGCTCGGTGACTAGCTTCCTGACACTCACTGATAATAATAAAAATGTTGCAACATATAGTGTATGTATACTATTCTCTTCTTTTCGCCACGTAGTTATAATTGCCAAATACGTTGTTAGGCAAAGTATATATTTAATAGTTTGTAAAGTGTGGGACATTTAAAAACAGAGCCGCAGCGCGGCACTACTCCCATAGTGTATTTTCATTAACTCAATAAACAGATCCGAGCGAGAATAATAACGAATACGTACATTTAAGAAAATCATAACGATAATTACCCACAAACTTGTATTTAGCAATATATACAATGTCATTATGACAACATCCATAAAAGATCTACATGAGATCCGCAATAAAGTCTCCTGATCTCGCTTTGTCACCGTTGACAATTATACAGTACTATTTAGATTGGATTTATTAAGTAAATTGCTGGTATAGTGTACAAACAATTAGTACGAAAAGCAAAAAACGAAGATATTATTAATATGTATTATTAATAAAAATATATAAAACTATATTTTCTAAAGCTTAACAACATAGCTTGCTTTTAGTTGAACACGAAACTAGGTTTGTGCTTCTACCAATACTTCATCTTTTACAAACCTAGTCTATGTCATAAAAGTATCAGTTGGTTGATTTCTAAGCTAGTGAAAAAGTTTACTTTAAGCCTGCATGACTTGAAAATCACTAAACCCACGTTTTGTGAGATAAAGTTTCACCAAGGCTTCGACATTTCGCCAAGTTTTAACATCTCGCTAAGGTTTAGACGTTTCGACAAGAGATAAAAGGTTTCGTCTTTGTCTTTTTGGGCTAGGTTTCGTCCTTCTTCGTTTTTGAAATAGGTTCGCCTAACAATACTATTCACAAACTAGTATTTTTTAACACATAATTGAATGAATTTAGTGATGTTTAAATTTGAATTTCTATGACAACAAAGTGTTGCAATATTTATGAATGATATCTATATTCATCGTCTATTTTAACATAAATTTAATACAAAAAATATGAAAAGATAACTTCAAATAAAATATAATGGATTGTATTTAAATCGTTTAAGGCAAAATTCTAAATTACAGCCTATTTTGTTAGCAATGTGGTGGCGCAAAAATTTGGCAGTCTCGTGGTGTTTACCCAATTCGATTGCAAGATCAATGTGTAGC